AAAATGTTTAGATGTTTTTTTTCCACCATGGAAATATTTGTTATATGCAAATTTCATTTCAGTTTGGATCGTATTATATGTAAATTGAATTTAGTTTCATTTCATATTAGTTATGCAATTGTTTTTATACTGTACAAGAATGTCAGTTGTGTCTGTGCTTCACATTGAGCATTTTAGATACATATTTCAACAGTAGGTAAAAATGTATTGGGAAAAGTCAATACTTTAGTACACAAAAACAAAATGAACATTTTTATTTATACAGTACATTTATTTTTGTAGAAATGTGTTACATGTAAACTGAAAATTCACCATTGCTTATTCATTTTTACACACTTGGTTGTCTTCCCCTAACACCACCACATACTTTCATATCTTCCTATTGCTCTTCCACAACAAGCAACTGTGAATGTTCAGTTTACATGTTACACATTTCTACAGATGAATGTACCATACAAATATAAACGGATGTAGCTGCTGCGGTTTAGGGTTGTGACGTTCCTCCTTGTTCAAAAACTCAATATATATGGTTCCAAACATGATTGATTGGCAAGATTGTGATTCCATTTCTTTACAATGGCAAGCCATTTGCCAACTTAGCAGACACTATAAACATTCCATGTCAGATTTTTATGGAATATACATGCATGACAGAGTTTGATAACTGAAGGGATCATTTTGCATGTGACGGCTCACACGATGAAAGAATGTTGAAGTTGTGAAGAGTTTGACAATTTGACTGAGAATAAACTCATCAGTTCAGATCAACAAGCCATGTGCATGTAGTTAATTTGCAAATTGTATACATGTGCCACAAAACATGCAATTTGCTTAAATCAATAAGGAATTCAAATCTGATGTGAACAAGAAACTAATTGTTCAGACATGTGAACTTATTGTTTTAACAATTCAAGAATTGAGCCAAAGCGATTAAGAAAGCTAATTTATTCATAGTCAAATAAAAAAGGAAATGAAGAAACTATATATGGATATTTTATTATAGTGAAAACACTGAACCACATCAGAACACTAAGTATATTAAAAATCTATTCTCTCAGAGGCACCAGTGGATCGCTGATGATGTCTCTCACAGTCTCTTGCATTATGCAGCAATGTTTGGATCCAAGCTTATCAGATGCCGTGGCTCGACGGCTTTTTGCCACAATATTTAAGTGAGAAAGAAAACAATTGAAATGCAAATGCAAAAAGAAACAAAATGTACATAACCAAGGGATACACTCCATCTGGGATAGACACTATGGGGAATCCCTCCAGCATGAGCAGCGCCTGAAGCACGTGTTTAAACATGTCAATGTCTTTGGCTGACGACAGTCCTAAGTTTCATGCCCTATGCAATGAAAATCACAGCTTTTACACCTTCCTCGATTCCTTACACCAGGCCAGGCGATTCAGTGCCCATCCCAACCGCAGAGCTCAAAGGTCCGAAGAGCCCTTAAGACACTTACAGTTCACAGGCGGCAGACAATTAAAGTCAGTTACAATAACGTATGATATTAAAGGGGTCATATGATGCTGCTAAAAATAACATT